CCCCGTAATTGCCGATGCGGTGAAGGCACGTGCCCAGGCTTTGCTCTCACCTCTTCAGACCTGGAGTGACAACCAGCCTTCAGCACAGAGGACCCCAGTTTGCAGCACGTTGCCGGGCATGTAATGGAATGCATTAATACAGCGGGGTTTTGTCACCGGCCGTGTTCAGTAAAGTCACAAAATGGCTCATTTGCGTGGACTTTGTTTCTTTTTTCTCTTTGATTGAGGTTTGGCAGCACTCAGACGGTATGCAAGTTGCACGGTCCCTTACCAGATCGGTAAGCATCAGTTACTCTGAACCGGATTCCTCACCCCAATTTTATATTCACTAATTGTCTGCTTCAGTTTGTCATTCTGCCAGCACCTCAGTGTTGCCTATGGCAGAGTTCAATAGCCCATTACTCGCTGCTTGCCATGCAAGAGAATGGTTTCCAGGGAAGGGACACATGCTTTGCAGTATCCATCTCCTCAGGCAAAAGCTATCACAGGAAGAATTTGAAAGTCTATCACAGAGTGCTCTCTGTTGCCTCATCCTTTGTGAATTAAAACGTGATTTTTCCAACAACTCTTGAAAGATCTTGCCACATTCTGTTGCCTGCATGAGACACTTGAGTATCATCAAAGAATCACAGCGTAGTACTGGTTTACTTCTCTTGGGTTTATTTTGGTCTTCTGTTCTCAGTACGTCCCAGTTGTATGTGGCAGCAGGGTACCAGAGCTATTGAATTGTCCCCAAAAGCAGCTAACTGGGCCCTTGTTACTGTAATTACTCATAAACAGCTGGTGCTCAAGGACAGTGCCTGTTCTGGGGGACTCCCAGTTTAAGAACAACCACCAATCCCCTCCCCTCTTGTCCAAATCAGTGGGAAGGAAATGGGAATCGGCACCATGTGGTTTTTAGAGACATTGAGGTTGATTTTTCTAAGAAGCCGTTCTTTAAGACGGTAGGAACCATGGCCAAGGGGCTTTGCTGTGAGGTGTGAGGTTTGTGGGGCTGTGACCTGTGGAAGATGTTAGAAAAAGGACCACGTGAGAGGCTGAAAAAGAAGCTGACGAAACTCAGTGCCTGCAGAGCAGTGAGGGTGTTGCAGGGCTTTGGAGGGGCTACAAAGGGTATGAACTTTGATGCCGTTAAAGGAAACCTTGAGAACAAAGAAAAAAGAGCTGCATGACCAGATTTATGGGCAAGGACAGGGCTGGCAGCTACAATTTTGAATTATCTGAAGAGAGACATGACGTAGGCATTGGGGAAGCCAGAGAGGTGAGTGTCACAGGAGCTGAGCTTCTAGAAAGGACAGGCAGAAAATATACTGCCCGATTCTTTCTCTGGCTGTCAGTACATGCCCATTCCCCCCGGGGGCAGACAGTGCTGCCCTTCTCCAATGAGAAAGATGCTCCAATGATGCTCCAATGTCCAGGAGGACAGACTTGCCGGCTGCCACGGCAAAGCAGGAGCCTCTTCCCAAAGCCTGGGCACTGGCTACCGGGAGTGACAGAACCCTCGGTGCCAACGTTGCCGTTCCCATCGTCCATCAGCACCCGACACCGTTGCTTCTTGGTTTGCAGCCATCAGCTCGGCCCCTGGCAGGAGTTACAGACCAGCCGGGCCGGTACATTATGAGGTAGCAGGAGGACATAATCCCCCGCACCGCAGCCCAAAGCCTCACTGAAAGTAGTCCATGTGACAACGATTACAGCCAGAAATCACAGAATCACAGAATCACAGAATCACTAAGGTTGGAAAGGACCTTCAAGATCATCAAGTCCAACCATTAATCCAGCACCACCATGTCCCCTAAACCATGTCCTGAAGCGCCACATCCACACGTTTTTTGAACACTTCCAGAGATGGCGACTCCACCACCTCCCTGGGCAGCCTGTTCCAATGTGGTTCTGCGCATGGCGTGTTGCAGGGGTCTGTCTGGGGCTGAGGCAGCGGCGGGACCGGGCGCGGGGATGCGCAGGCGCCCAGGACCGGGCGCGGGGATGCACAGACACAGCGGGGGAGAGGCAGCAGGTGTGGTGGGAGAGGAGGCGCTGGTTGTTTTCCCCTCCCCAGCAGCTTAAACTATGCAATTGTATCTAAAAAGTGTGTTGTTAAACCCAAAAATGAAATAAGTGAAACTAAGGACATACCAGAACTACAGTAGCATGGTTTATTGACAAGAGCTGCTAATACAGGCAGTAGGTAACTACATATATTTAATTATATATTAAGTGCAAGCTGGATCTTTAGTATACATTTAATACAGTGCACGGCATAAGCTCATACTGTTATTGTATTTCAGACCTTTGTTTCAGTCTAGAGTTGCATACTAATCGTTAGAAAACTCTCCCACAAGCATTTGCTGCTACAAAAGGCCAAGAACTGAAATACCCCAATTAACTTTTGAACCAGACTTGGCAGAACGTGTTAAGAAACTCAGAGAAGGAGGGAAGATAATTCACCGCACACCAGGCACCATCCAGCTGAAAAATCCCTAATTAATGATAAAGCAGGTAGGTCAGAAATAAGGAGGAAGAGGACTGTTTCTTCCATTTTAAAACCATACATATTTAATGCTTTCCCAGATGTCTTTCTCATGCTTTATCATTTTGGGAGAACAAGACAGTAATGGCAATAAGAAACTTGCTTCATGTCTTATTTTTTTCTTTATATCTTACATTCCTTTCTTTCTGTTATGATGCTGAATTGTTTGTGCTGCATTAACAAAGTCCATTTGCGGATGTTTTCTGACCCGACTGATGCACCCCTTCCTGAACATGCGCAGCACCGTGCAATTTTACCTGCCCGATCACAACTCCTGTTACTCCTGCTCCGGCGTGCCTGGCTTTGCAACTTCAACGTCCTTTGGAGGTAGGCGTTTTTAAAAATGACGCAACTTAAAACTGAAGGTGACAGGCCACTGGGACTATCAAATTTCTCAAAGAGTCCAGCCTTTTGGGGTGTAGAGATGAACTCCTTGGAGAAGGTGAGGAGTGTCAGAGGAAGTCTCTCCAAGCCCAGGATGGTAACACCAGCAGGTGCTGCCAGAGGTTCAGACGGAGGCTTGGTCAGCTGGACGTGCTGCCAGGGACGTGGCTGTCCTCGGGAGCCTCCCACGGGATACACGCTCCCGTGTGGTGTGAAGCTGCCGGAACCCGCCGCTTGCACAAGCACAGGAAATCAAAAGGCAGCTGTGCTAGTGCCCAGATTTCTAGAGCTTATGTTGGTCAAGTTCCTTGGCCCAGTGGTTCCTTGACCTTTTATTAAGACCTCTGTTTAAAAAAAAAGAAACGAGAAGAATTCTGAGCTATTGAACTGGGCTACAAAAGGTGGTGGCTTGACAGCAGTATAAAGAGCCCAGGTAAGTGATAGCCACAAAGAGTACATTAATCTTGTTTATTTTTTCTTTAATTGGTGATTTCCAGTATCACTTTGGACATGCAGAGTTAGTATCTTCTGTACAGGTGGTAAAAGTTGTATGCCTTTCTTGGTTGCTTCAATGCATTATCATTATAACACATCATCCACCTTTATTTAACCCTTACCGAAGCAGCAGTGTAAGGGCAGCTGTTGCGGTGCTGTCGCTGGTACAGGTAACTCACGCATTTCAAACAGTCGTGTACAGCATTTAGCGTGAAGCGGAAATGAGTGCTTTGCAGGAAAATAACACCTTGATTTGAGGCTCTCAATCCTGAATTCTGCACATCCTTTGTTTAATTAACTTCTGTTATAGACTCCTTTTTCACATAACATTTAATATGTTTCCTATGTGAAATATGCTCTTTAATGCCTGCCAGTAAATAAGTATATAATTACTCTGACTCCTATCAGAACTAATATAGTTGAACAAACTTTCTGAAAAACAACAATACATGTACATTAAAAGCATGAATGAGCATCCATAAACACTCTACTCCAAGATCTGATTTATAGCGATACGAAAGTGAGAACTTACTTACACTGGGGGGTACCCCAGAAACGACAGTGGAAGCGGCGAGCAAGGGAGAGGGGGAGAGAGGAGAAGGTATAACCGGTAACTGAATGATAATGGTCAGGTGGGCAAGGAGTTAAAACAAAAAGACCTTCCCAGATAGAAACCAGGGTGAGGGCGATGTGTACGTGGTCGTGCTGCGGTTCCAGGCAGGTAACCGGTGCCGTCCCAGCCCCTTTGGGGTCACGCAGAGCTCAGTCAACTCGGCAGAGATGAAAAATACAGAAATATGTTTCTTCTTTATCTTCCCTCCTTGTCTGATTTGCCCTTGGAAGAGAGCTCCTTGGCTATTTCACAGTTTATTTGTCCAGCTTGGCCTTTGTGGTCTGCAGTTTCAGGCCTCCTGCGACTGCTTGCATTTGCGTGCATCACGCAGCCAAACGTCTTAGCCTGAAGGTGAAGTTAACCAGCTTTTTTGGCTGATTTGCTGATCTTGAAAGCGCTTACTGAAGGGCCTCTGCTCTTTTGACCTAGGAAGGTGTATAGTTAACCTTAACGCCACTGAAGTCACCACTCATGTGGGTACAACACTTGCAAAGTTCACATTGTAATAAAAGAGAAAGTCTCTATAAACGCCGCATCCAAGATACGCTTTGTGTTTACGCTGAGAAGGTTTGAAGGCAAAAACCCTGAAGAGCTTACATGTAGGTTTAACAGTGCTAAGTCGAGGTAATTGTTACACAATGTTCCTGGTTAGTGAAATTCAGTTTCCAGTAGCTTAACGTTGTGTTTGTGATGGAGAGCGAGCTGCCATCCACAGCCACGTGAAAGTCTTACTGGCAAACACCGTTTGTCATTTCTCTATTAAGACAGGATGCAGTGGTCCTATTTTTTCCCAATCATCTGACTTAATTTAAAAAAAAGAAAAACATCTCAAAATGGCCATCAGCAGCATGATGTCTCTCTGTTTGTTTTCACACAGAGGTGGGTGGGGTTTTTTTTTGTCCCGGTCCTTCTTGGATAGATGATAGTATAGCACCTAGCACCCCACTACATGTGGGATGCTACCCACCTCCGCTCCCCTCATGTGAAGTACCGACACTGTGTAGAGTCGATGTAGCAGTAAGAAGTGCATCGCAATTTTCCATAAGACCTAAAATAAAAGAGAATTCCTCAGTTTCAAAGTATGCTATAGTTCACATTGCGTGGTTTCTGGATGTAACTCTCTGTAGGAGTGAAGAACATCAGAAAACGCCAGGTGCAGCAACATACGGGAAACAAAATAAGAGGATAATTTCCATCCGTGCTCTACTGTGCTCCCCCTTCTCAGAAAAATACGAGTTCAGGAGAAACTATGAGTGAAGACTGAATTTCCAGCAACGTCAATTAAAAAAAAATAAAATACTCATCGACAGTGGGACTTGAGCATTGTGCAGGGGTAAGTGCAGGAGGCCTTGGCATTCACCCACAGGAACCGTGTAACGAAATATCTGAGGCTCTGAGTTAAGTGTTTTTTCCAGTTATTTCCAATAGCTCTAGCAGCTGTGACTGTGCCTGTCCTTTAACTTATTTTTCCTGTATTTGACATAATGATAGTGACACATACCCACTTTTGAAATAAAAAAAAGCGAATGGAAGGGTCCTTGAAAAATAAGGAAAAACAGTTATTTTGTCTTTCTACTGACTTAAACTGAGCTGCAGTGACTCCACCTACTGAAGACCTGACCAGAGATGTTAATAAAATAACCATTTTGATGAGTTTTTATTACTAGCATATGTCTAAGTGAATAACCTTCCATCATATAATCCACAAACTGTGGACTACACAGCCATTAAGCAGGTCCTTAAAACTACGTCCTTGGATATCCCACATTCTCAGAAAACCAACATAAAATCTGAAGTGAAGGTGTGTGAAATATGAGAGGGATTTGGGGGCTGGAAAGAGTATATGGGAAAATCAGTTGGAGCAGAGCTCGTGGAGGACAGGGTGCTTTGGGATGAAAAGCCCATGGGGTGCCAAACTCATATACCTATTTTACCCATGAGTCACAGCTTTTTCTTTAGTTTAGCAGATAATCTGATTATACATGGAAAATGAAATTTATAAAAATTTCTTAAGCTTTTGTGGTGCTATTTTTGGCACCAAACTTCAGACGCTTAGAAAGGAGTAGTTTTCACAGTAGAAAACAGCTCCACGCTGTCTGAAGAGGAGATGTCTGTAAAATGTTCCAGGTTGATAGGTTGGCTGGTCTCGATTTTAGCAAGTCTCTTACACCAGGAGTGCTCCAACAATTGCAGTGGAAGGATTAGCACAGCACTTGACTTACAAAGACATCCTGTGGTTTCTTATTCCTGTCAATTAGCACATTATTCTTCCATGAATGATGAGGGCTCTGTGCATAATTTCATTTGCAAATTAAATGTTTCCTGTTAGCCAGTAACAATACCTGACAGTTAAATAGAGGTACTGCTCTTGGAAGCAGAATGCTAATCAGAGGAAGCTGCTTAAACAAAGGCAGAGAAGACAAGTCAACAATAAGCAGATGTTTTAAATGAAGGACATCATTGCTAAGCAGACGCATGGCTTTGCATCTGCTGTTGGCTGAATTTCCCGGTCTTTGGAAAGGCTGATAAATGACTGGTTGATTCAGAAACAAAGATAACCCAAGAGTATAGTTAAAGGTAAGGGCAACAGGAGGTTGGTAGAAGGTTGTGGTTTGGTTGTTTTGGGTTTTTTTTTCCCCTTCAGTGTGATCATCTCCTTTTCACGGTCTTTCCTACTCTTGGTATGTTATGGGTGAACATCAATGCAATGATAATGTCACCAAATGAGGAAATCTTTGCAAGCAATGGGCAAATGTGACTTTCATTCATTATGTACAGTAAGAGGCATGTGCTTATTACTGAGAGATGAGATTGAGCCCTTAAAGTCAATGATATGCAGAAATAATCTGACAGACTCCTTCTCCCTCGCTACCCGCAGTGGTCTCAGTGGAACAAGGTTTAAGTGGGTAATAGTTTTCTGTTTTAAAGCTGGTAAAGAGAGAAAAAAGGAAAAAAAAACCCAAACAAAAATACCTGAACCAAAGTGAGGACATATGATACATACCCAGGGAGATAAGTTTTACATGTCAAATATCCAAAATCCTTCCCATCGCAGTCTTCAACCCCCTCGTGTTTGTAGCCATCTCCACAGTAAGCACGGCGGCATCCTAGTGAAAAATACAGAAAGAAATACTTTCAAGGCACTGCATGTGTAAGAGAGGCAGGTCAGGTAAGTGGACCTAGATTTTCAAGTGTGAAGTATAAAACAAGGCATTTTGGGGAGGGGATCCTCCAAGGACTGTCTTAGGAGGAGCAATACTCTTCACTACAAAGAGTATTTTTTTTAGCTTAATTTCAATGACAAAGGGAAAGAATGGATAACTGCTAAAAATAATTACTACAGAAACACTAATTGTAACAGCATTTATTCTAATAATTATTATTACCATAGATAAATGCTACTAAAACAAATTAAAGGCAGCATAAAATGTAGCTAACAAATTATTTGGGGAGGTCACAATTTAAAAAAAAACACTCTGAGGTCATTAAATGGTTTGAAAATCCTAACCTAGACCTTTACCCGATATTGCACATTATCTATGCGTGTCTACTGTGAGTTCCCACATATGAATGTGGGATCAATATGCAGGTATATTTCCTGTCAATCAAAGGAAAAAAAATATGTAAAGATTGCCAAAAATGTGTCTTTCCCACTGGCTTGAGTGTGAGTGGGCCTTGTGACATTTTTTCATGGTTACTGGCATGTAGGTTGCAGTAATATGTGGGTGTCTTTGCTATTTTAGCAACTGGGCTTGGCTTTTGATATCTTCAACTTTTTGAGTATGACTTTGTAACTTGAAAAAATAAATTTAGCCAAAATCCTTTTGACACCTTCTTGGAGACACTATTAAGCAATGGATTAAATGTCCTCATCCTCCACTCAGGAATAGGGAGTTTATAAGGATTAAAGTGGGTTATTTACAAATAGAAATGGTTAATTAATTGCAGCAAGTATCTGTTTGTTAGAAATTGATACTTCTAAAAACAATGAGCCTGTTTTAGTCCGCTTAACATTTGGTTAAGCTTTTTGTTTTGGTTCAGTCACAAGAGCAGAATGATGACAATGTGCTCATTTCCACGTAACTCAATGATAACTCTTTGGGTCAGATCAGTGCCAGAAGTCTATGTATTGCAAGGCTTTGACCTGAAGCTTTGCCCAGCGTATAGCGCACAGCAACACGGTGTACCTCCAGATGCATCGTGTGCAATTTTGCGCACACTATTTTCCTGCATGCTTGTTCCACATGATTGATTGTAAATTCTAATTAAATTGTTTTCTCGTGCTTGGAGCCTGGAGAGTTCATGCTCTCTCACTGGGTAACCCTGCAGTCAGGCAAGCTTAGAGGGACATTCATTTATATGTCTCCCTATACCTGTTGCAACTGAATTGCCTTTGAAATCCCTTTCCTGTTGTCGATGAGAAGCTAACTGGGATTCCTAAGCTATAAGGGAAAGGGTGGTGATGGATAGGTGGATGGACAAACGCACACAGTGTGGCTGCTTACACTTCATTTCCTTAGAAAGGCAGGCTGAAAAATGGAGGGCTGTATAAACGAAAAAGAAAAATTGCATCTTTCAGTGTTGGCTGATGCTTGTTCTGAAACACGAAGCAGCATCCCTTTGCTAGAACCAACGGAGTACCAAACCTGCTGTGCGTCAGCTGCAGACGGCGTCGAGCGCCGTGCTCTGGGGAAGGGATCAAGTGGCAAAAGCAGCTGAAAGGTCGAAGTGAAGGTTGCCACAGCTGCTTCTACACTTGTAGGCTTTTGCTATCCACAACCAGCAAAACGAAAGGAAGATTGACTAGACAGGAATCAAATGTTGTATAAACCTACTAGTTAAGGTAGTGGGCTGACAGCTTCCCCAGGCAAGCGAATAACAAAATCAGAAGCGGTTTTACTGGATCCAGGATCTGGCTTTACAATTAGAAACAGCCAGCACCAGTGTCTGTCCTAAGGAGTTTTGTGTTGCACTGCAAAAGGATGCTACATCTTTCGGCCAGAAAGTCGACAGCCCCTGAGGAAGGTGTGTATGTAAACCAGCTGCTGGATTTGGCCCCTGAAATGCGACGGTTTTGCTCTGACTTGCAGACAGCTGGCGTGTGGCATCCTCCTGCACAAAGGAGCTCGGTGCTTGCACTATGGCCGTCGTGCCTCCCTGCCCCACTGCCTGCACTCGAATCAAAAGCCACGCAAGCTCCGCCGAGAGAAGCGCTTGTGTGATTTACACAGCGCTGTACCCTGCGGAAACAACTAATGCACCTTCCCTGGTAGGAAGAAGCCGCTCTCGATGCGTTGTAACTTACTTATACAGTCATCAGTCACAACTGCGTTGCCATCGTCGCACTCTTCCCCCGCCTGTACAACCCCATCTCCGCAGGTGCCACCATCCTCGAAGCGGTAATCCACGGGGGAGAAAGGGGTGAGCTGGCCAAAAAACACACAGCGGTCACCGAACCGACCACGAGCAGCCTGGCGAGCAAGCCGGGGTGCAGGGCTGTGGGAGGCAGATCCTGCAACCGGGTTTTCACATCCCGCTACTTGGTGGTTCAGAGGGTTTATACAGAATCTGGTTCAAAGACCAGTGGGCACAAGAAGGATCCTGCTGCTGATTTCAGCAAGACTTGGCTTAGCTCCTTGAAGCGATAAGGAAATACATGGTTTTGGTTTGCACGGTTTATGTTTTCCTGCAACTTTGTACCCTGGCGAGTTTTGCCTTATTTTGTGTTAAATCAAAAGTGCTCTTTAGTGTTGCAAATTCCCCAAACTCAGCCCCAGTTTGTTCAGCAGTGGAGCCTGGTTCACAGGCTCCGTTGCAAAACCTGCAACACTGATGAGATAACGCCTCAGTAATTAAGAATCCTGTGAACAAAAATCACAGAATTAGGTACAGTTGTGGCAGTGCTCAAAAATAAGCTTTTTGCTCCATTTACTTGCTTGATTTTTGTATGACACCTTAAATACAGAAGTATGTGCTGTTTTTAAAAATGAAACATACACTCACGAGTTTTCTGAGACCACAGTCATATTTTCACCTGGACTGGGAGCCATCCAAAGGTATCCTTGAAATACAAAGATCTCTGATCTCTTCTAAAAGCTAAGGCATTTTCGGTGTTTAACCGGTCCAATTCTTCTTGATTATTCACCACAAAAATCTGGGGCACAGAAAAAGAGCGATTGGTAACCTTCTCAAGAAGTATTTTGGATTGTCACGGAATCTAGTGTTGCAAACTGGCATATATATCTGCAAGTACGTAAATAATTGCGCAGAAAAATGGTTTGGTTGTTTTCAGAAACAGAATGGTGTGAGAACTTACACCCACGGACTGCCCGACTATAAGAGGCTCATTTGCAACTGGTAGGAAGAGACACCAGTTTCCAAAGGAGAATGGTCTTTCCTGAGCCCCTAGCTATGGCTCCAATGGCCCCTATTTCAAAATGCACATCCACAGGTAATGATCATGCAAATACTCATGCACAATCAGTGTTGAGGGAAAAAAAAAAATCAGATGCTCAAACGGTTAGGTGCTGGAACAATTGCAAAATCCATATGGGTATAAGAGCTTTTTGTGGCTTTGTCTATATTTTTTTAGGCATGCTCATGGCTACAAAATAAATAATGCATTGCTCAATGCAACCTGCACTTATCTTTTACTACTTTGTACTTTGTTTAGATTTAATTGGCATTGAAATGCATGTTTCCTTACATGCATATACTTTAGTCTAAAACCAGGTCTTCAATTAAACAGAAAAAAATTTGTTCAAAATGGAAACATTAGGATGACCTGCTCTCTTACCAATTTTTTTAATGTCTCAGTCACAGAAATGGGCTCTAAGTGGCATTAGGAAATAATCTCTTCCTTCAGCAGCTTAATCAAATTAATTTTAGAAAGATTAAAACCATTGTTAAATTAAGAAAAAGCAAATGGAATGCTTCTGAGCAAAACGGATTCAGGGCTGAGCCTGATTCCCACCAGCATTAGCAGAATTGGCTCTTTTTTAAAACAAATCGCCCTGAAATATTTACATGGCAGAATATTCCCACAGCCCCCAACAAAGGCCAATTTCATTAAAGAAGCATTGAACAAAAACGCCTTCAGCTTGAATGAACGAAAGCAAAGAAATAGAAAGCCAGCAAAGAACTGATTCTGTAACTGCGTTCAGGAGCTCAAGTCCCAGCCCCAGAGTTCCAATTCCTCCTGAAATCAACAGCGCATCTGTGCTCTCTGGAAATCTCTCTTACAGATACTGGCCTTCGAAATGGCAAAACATTTAAAAACGGGAATGACCCTTAGCCCGTGACCGAAAACCAGTGCTTTGCTCCCTAGCCCGCCCCGCCCGCCCCCGCCCCGGGGCAAGAGGCTTGCCTCTTCCCCGTCCCTCATTTCTGAGAACAGAAACGGCACTTGAGCATCGTCAAATGAGGGTTCACAGAGGTAGCGTAGGGTACTTATATTTTAGGTAGTTACACTCTCATTACTATCTTTTATGATCTAATATGAAACTGTGCCAGATGGAGGAGGGTCACACGACCTACACAGAATATTGCAAGCCTTATACCTTGTCCATTGAGCCATGAAGTACATGATATTTTTCTGCAACAGTGTGCAGCATGATGTGATATGCACCTTTATTTCATGCACTTTCTTCTGTCACCATTAAGTTTTAAAATAACGGGGCGTTTTTTATAATGCAACACAGACAGGGATGAGCGAGCAGCTGACAAGATTTGCAGCACACTCGTGCAAAAAATTGAGTTCAACGACCCAGTTTAATGGACAATGTTGTGAATATGTCCCTTTCACAAACTGTAACAGCTTTCCGACAATGTGACAGATGAGCAAGTTAGCAAAGCTAATTGCTGCTTATTGTCATTCAGAGGTGACTCGACAGCCGCCCAATACCCACCTGCGTGAGCGGAGGGGCTAGGCTGCGCTGGTACGCCGCAGCAGCAAGGCAGCACTTTCATTGCTGATTAAGTGCCACAGTGCACAGAATAATAAGGCAGGGACCAGCAGCAGGGAAAGTACAGAAATAGTCTTTACAAAGCCCACAGAAATCAGAGATGAAAAATTGCTAGGTCACTTTCCAGCAATGACTTGTCCTTTAAAGTACTTTGTCTAATTTGCTCGTAAAAATGCTTTCAAGAAGGCTAGAGATTGAAATTATAGCTATATAAAAGTGTATGTCTACAGACAGGAGCTCAGAAGTCTGACTCCCACGGTTTATGAAGACTCCTTTTTGGTTCAAGGCAGAGGGTCTGTGTTTTGGGAGAAAGTTCTATCTTATATGTGAAATGCTTGACCCCAATATTCAATTCTGAAATCACTGTGTTTGCGGAAGATGATATAAAAAATAAACAAGAAAGAGATGCTTACTTCACTGACCAATCTGAATTTACTGAAATAAAAAGAACAGACTATATGTGTAGCAGGTGGAAGAGAGCACCTTCAGGCTTGTAAAAAGCTTCCTAAACACGTGCTGCATTACTGATGGTTTGAAACAGCTACATTTCAGTGCCTCAATCACACAATCCTCAGACTAGTCGTGAGACCAGACTTTTTTGCATTGACTGGATCTCGGAGGTTGTGGGTACTGGAAATAACACAGTGCCCACATACTTACCTGTTAAATCCAAAATATTAGTGAACATAACAACTCTAATAATACAAGTATTTAAGAATTGCCCACATCCTCTCCCAGAAAATCTGCTTACCGCAGGGACTTTTGGGTAACTGTGTCCAAACAGAGATTCCTCATATGGCGGGTTATTCACATGTTGGGGGGATCTGCAGAGACATCTCCCAGGAGGCCCTGGAAGTCCTCTTTCCCCTTTTGGTCCTATTGCAAATTGCCCTAGGAAGCAAAGTACCAGGTTGCCTTGTTATGAAGTTAACATACAAAACACAAATGCAGCCTTAGGGGAAAAAGTACAGGTCAGGTGGATATATGTGTTTATGTAAATTTTCAGAGATGCACCCACCAAAGCCCCTGGGAACTGAAGGATGTGATTACCAGAACCACCAATTCCAGCACTGCAGGAGAAAGACCAGCCTTTGTACCACAGTCATTTTTTTTCAGATCAGTGTTTAAATTTTTCTACCAACTTTACAAAGAAAAAGAGAGGCCATGTGCTTAGGATTTCTAGATAAATGTCAGCTTTTTTGAAGCTACAGAAATTCAGGTCATGATGAACACACAGATCACTCTACAGCACTTATGCACCAAGTTTAGTAGAGTCAGACTCTGTAGACATCCACAACGCATTGGACTTATGCATTTGTGCAATCACTTGAGCAATGCTGTTTCAGAGGTTTCTGTACAAGAAAATCCAAGCAGAAATACAGGAGTACTGCAAATAATTTTTTTTTTTAAATACTGCTTTTTGACTTTCAAACTTTGGCAAGGATGCACTGCTCTGCAGAATTAGACTATGAGCCAACATGTTCATACTGCAAGCAGTGACATCATTACAGAAAGGTCATTTAGGATCAGAATTTATATTCTAGAGGAAAAAGATTAACAAGCCTGACACATAAACTTTCTGCAGATGGAATAAAGCCTTTAAAAAGTAATCTCAAGGTCCTGGCTGCCTTTCCATTGGCATGGTGAAAATTCTGCCCTCTGAAAACTTCCAGCTATTTTACTCAGGACAAAGACGTTTCATACTGGGAGACATGAGTTATGTGAAGATTTTGAAGCAGCCCCCAGCTTCGCAGATGCACCATTTCCACACCACCAGAAGGAAGAGACCTCCTGCCCACTGATGTAAGCAAAGGAAGAAAAAGGGAAAGCAAAATGGAAGAGGACATTGAACAGATTGGCTGCAGTGCAAGCACTGTTGTATATTTGAGGCAACAGTAGTTTCCAACTGGTTTTGTTTTTCTTGTCAGGTACTTTAGTATATATCTGGGTTGAGAAAACCCTACCTGAGGGTTCACTTTCACTGAACGTCGTGGGTCGTGTATTGTGTTGGTCTACGCTTTGTCTCACAAGCTGCCTAGACTTCATCTCCTTGTATAGCTTTGAAGCTGTACAATTACCAGTTAGAAGATTTTTCTCATGGTTCCTATAACACACACAACTGCAGCAAGCATAGATCTACAGCACTTGACTAAAAAGAGAGAGGGGTTTTTTTCACCACCCTTTTTTTCCCTTGGACTCCTATCCCTTTCCTTCTCTTCCCTTCTTTCCTTACTGCCATTGTGACTTGAGTCTCATCTGGTTTTCTTTTACAGAGCTGCACAGAGTGACTGTGTCCTGACCAATTAGAAGTCACAATCTTTCACTGTAAGCCAGGTTATCTGGAGAAGCAGCAGAACTTTGATGATGGAGATTAACTAGTTCCTCCAAGGCTGATGGATGGCTTTTCATCATCCTCATCTACCGAAGTCCCACAGGTACTACATAGGCCATGTTTTTGGTTTTGTTTGAAATATCAGAAGTCATAACATAAGCTTTCAAGTAAGGTATTGTGCTGGTTTTGGCTGGGATAGAGTTAGTTTTCTTCATAGTAGCTAGTATGGGGCTATGTTTTGGACTTGTGATGAAAACAGTGTTGATATAGAGATGTTTTTGTTATTGCTGAGCAGTGCTTACATAGGGTTAAGGCCTTTTCTGCTTCTCACACCACCCCACCAGCGAGGAGACTGGGAGTGCACAAGAAGTTGGAAGGGGACACAGCTGGGATGGCTGACCCCAACTGACCAAAGGGATATTCCATACCATATGACATCATGCTCAGCATATAAAGCCTGGGGGAAGAAGAAGGAAGCGAGGGACATTCAGAGTTACGGCATTTTGTCTTCCCAAGTAACCGTTATGTGTGATGGAGCCCTGCTTTCCTGGAGATGGCTGAACACCTGCCTGCCCATGGGAAGTGGTGAATGAATTCCTTGCTTTGCTTTGCTTGTGTGTGCGGCTTTTGCTTTACCTATTAACCTGTCTTTATCTGAACCCATGATTTTTCTTGCTTTTACCCTTCCAGTTCTCTCTCCCATCCCACCATGGGAGGAGTGAGCAAGCGGCTGTGTGGTGCTTAGGTGCTGCCTGGGGTTAAACTAGGACAGGTATAGAGTCCCTATAATGGACAACAATGGCATGACCTGCCTTCAGGAGAAATCCTCTCCTTGCTGTCAATGGAAAAGCAAACAAAACCCAGCAGCACTTTTTGTAAAGGGGCCTGTGTAGGTGTACGTGATGAGTCATGAAGGTCTGGGGAGCGGTGACACTGCTTAGGAAATCACCCCATCTCATGCTTACCTGATCCTGAAGGTCCAGGAGGGCCTGGCTGGCCAGAAGGACCAGGTCTTCCAGGGGGACCCATGATACCTGCGGGTCCAATGTCTCCCTTTAGTCCCTAGGAGAGGGGCGACATCCATTTATTTGCTAAACTATTAATAACACACAACTTCTGCCAGCCAGCACTGGCTTCCCTTTCAAGAAAGCCAAGACATTTGCCAATAGGAGCACGCAAGATGAACTTCATAGCCACCACCCCAGGGAGGACGCGCTGTCCTCTTCTACATGGAGACAGAAAAGCATGTCCAGGCAGGACTTCTGCTCCTAAAAGTGAATGGTCTCAGCAGATCTGCTCTGTGTGGAATCAGGAATCACCCTGCTCTGACTCCAATCACTTGGCTGGCCTTTCTTTAAGGATGCCTTTTTACCCCTGGTAGCTCTCTAGGAGGCAGTGCAGCTGAGGAAGGGCGGGCTGGTGGAGCTGAGATAGGTGACCCTGGAAATCCCTAGTTACTGCATTAATACTCAATGGGGAAATAAAGAGAAAATTCAATAAGGTGTCGGGCAAGGGCTTCCACAGCGACATTTTGCAGTTTTAGGGTGCAGTTTTTCGGACGCACGCTAATGACTGTGAGGCCCACACTGTTTTCAGAAGTACTTTAGGTTCCTGGAGCCCTATATCTCTGACTTTCACTGTGGTATAGCTATGTTAACAAATCATTGCAAGGCAAGCAAGGGCTTGGCTTTACAAAGTGCAAGCTAGTGTGTGGCAACACCACGCTGACAAATGGTGATCCTCCAAAACGCTGTAAAATTACCTATGGGAGACGAGCTTACACACAATTACCATACAATAGGTAATATTCTGTAAAATCAGCCCTAGTTTGCCCCATGGGAACTTGTTTGTGCAGCCATGCCCTTAGGCATTTGGAAGTTTCACCCTAGAACTGTTCAGCACCTTCCTATTTTTGCTCCTGAATTTAATATGGTGACACTTATTAAAAATAACTATATTTATCTTCCTGCTCTATACTCACCAAGGCTTGAATTTCTCAGCTTTCTATTTCAGCAGTGTATTACATAGCTTAAAGTTTAAATATCTGATTTGATTTTTATGTAACAGCATATGTTATTTAGCATAACAAAAATAACGTGTGCTATGTAAGCTTTCCTTTAAGGACAAAGGAGATAAGCTCCTTGAAGATGGTGTAATTCCAGGTTAATGTGCATTCACAGGTGCATGATGAGTGGTTGCATGTCTAATTTCAGAGTAATGAAGCATATATAGTAATATATGCTAAAATAATTTGTTGTTACATAATAAGTTGTATCCCACGGATACATCTGAATGTCACTTGCACCATTTCACCACAGGAAGGTTGATTTTGCCATGCGCCATGAAGAACTAATTGAATATTTGCTTTGTTTAATCCTATTAGGTAAGCTCTGTGCCATCAAAATATTCCAGGATTTATGTGAATGTCAGCGATGCTGATCCCTAATTGCTTCTTACATTACGCAACACTGAACTGGCAGACCAGGGTTTTGTAGCCCCCGAGAAGTGCGTGGGAAATCTCTTTCCCCCACACAACAGCAGTCTGGCAGAGGCAAACCAGGGCCAGTCAGACATGTACTGCCTGAAAACGAGCTGTCTGCTGCGTCTCCTGCTTTGGAGGAATGATTGCTTAATGCTTTCTTGTTTAGCACAGATAGATTAAATAACCATGGCAGAGATTTATGTTGCACATCTTTGCCTTGTTTCTTTCCACATGCACCCATTCACATGCATGCATTCAGAAAAAGCTTTTCCCATGGACAATACTTATATTCCTCTCCCTTCTTTCAAAGTAACATCATCTAAAGCTCTAAGTCATTCCTCCCTATCATGCTCCTTAGGGTCAGTTCCCAAGTTACAAAGTTTTGGGTGTTATATCTCAGGCTGTGACTTGTTACTCCCACCTCCTGGCCACCTTTTAGGAGAGCCTGCCCCAGAGGCAGAGAAGAGCTGAAGAAGTCAGTGAGATAATCAAGACGTATCTCAAAATGGAAGTGGAAGTGACACCTTCCTAATTTAGCTGCTTTTATCTAGGGATGTCAGCTGGATCAAGAGACAGGAAATGGCCCCATGTTGATGGAAACTATCCCCTCAGCTGAACAAACAGCCAGACGATAACTACAGCACTTAAAGGCAGCAGCCAGAGCCACCGAGCCTTAAAATGCCACTCTGAAGATTTTCAAAGGCTTAGAAAAGAAGGAAGGAAATAACTAGTTCACCAATTACAGAGGGAAGCCCAGTTTTCCTGCAGAAGATCAATGCTGAAATTGCCTTCAGGGCACCAGAAAGGGGTTTGTGTACTGAGCCTTGGGCCTGGAAATCCTAATTTAAGGCCAGATTATAGTTCTGATTGTTGCCTTAAATTATGACGTGCCTTACATCACCACTTTTTGATTAAGATGCTGTGCAGTGTGACAAAACACCTAAGGTCAAGTAAGGAGTGCAGCGTGTTCAAGTTGATCTGCAGGCGCTACATCTTCCCTTTGCCTCGCGCTACGGAATCATACTCTGTGCACATTACTTTGGCAGGATCTCAGATGAGCAGAGATTGCAAAAGAAAAAAACCTAAACCCAGTGAAGCACATGCATCAGCTTTTAAAAAATGACAAATCAAGGACAAAAAAAAGTTTCTTCTGGATCATCTAGCAGACTTGCATCGCACATACCTTCCTTACTTGGTGACCTATCATTCCCTCCACAACACCCAACTTTAATTTTTCCCCACACTGGCTAGTCTTTCAATATTAGCTGCTGGCATCAGATCAACAGTGAAGCAGGCATGTGCCTCTGTTTGCAAAGCTGGACATAACCAGACTGCAAACAAAATGCTTTCGGCTAAGCCCATTAACCACAGCATCTACAAGCTCCTGTATCTGGGCAGATGCGCATTAACACTGAAGTCAGTCTAGCAAGAACACGTTCCCTTCCTGTCAGTCAGTGGAAAGAAACAGGCTCTGCAGGTGGCAGTTCAGAGCACCAGGCACTGGTCTCCTTTGTACCCCCAATATCCTTGCTTAAAATAAACACACAAGGAAAGGTGCACTCAGAGAGGCCCATTTGGTGACTTTAATAGGTAACTGTACCAATATTGCTACCTTCTCCTTGGAAAATGCTACAGCAGAGGAGTCAGTATCAAATTTACACACAATTCATACAATCATAGAATAGTTTGGGTTGGAAGGGACCTTTAAAGGTCATTTAGTCCCACCCCCTCGCAGTGAGCAGGGACATCTTCAACCAGATCAGGTTGCTCAGAGCCCCGTCCAACCTGACCTGGAATATTTCCAGGGATGGGGCATCTAGCACCTCTCTGGGCAACCTGTGCCAGTGTTTCACCACCCTCACTGTGAAAAATTTCTTCCTTATAACCCTGAAGCTGGGACTAACTCCTGTGCAGCCTGTGCATGCATTGTGAGGTGTTTCAAAGCTTCTATCTGCTCCTGCTGTTACAAAGTGCATGGTACCACTAGAACACAGACCCCGGCTGTATGCCACGACCACACAGATGCCATGAGTCATGGGAAGAGGAAACATGGTGGTCTTACTTGTTTGCCTCGTTTTCCAGGTCTTCCTATAGGTCCTCTGTGTCCTGGTACTCCAGATTGTCCCTTTGGGCCCATCTCTCCCTTGGTGGATGTGGAGGGAAGGAAGCAGGATTTAAGTACAGAAATTCACATTACCTTGGTTATACCTGCCTTACACAAGACAGCAGAAGGACAGTGCTTTCATTCACATGATTCCTCTAGATAATGTTGGCACCATTTCTTTCTCAGAAATCCAAAATTATAATAAAATATTTAAAAACAAGCATAAAGTAAAAAAATATCTCTTACAATTTACCCAAGTTTCCCTGAACAGTCCTTTCCTAAGGAGGAAGCCAAATGGAGAGATCAGAAACATGCTCAGAGATTTGGAGAGGCCAAGGCTAGCAAAACTCTCTGACCCCTTGGCAATATCTTGCTTTGCTGTTGAGATGCACATGCAATAAAGTCACTCAGGGGAAGGGAGGTGAATTCACTCATCTTCCAGCCTCCTTAGAAGCAACCATCATTTCCTTACCCTAATTTCAGAGATAAGATGTGATTATGTCATAAAATTATCCCCCTTTAGGATTTGTATCCATCAGCCAACACCTGCATTTTGCTTGTTTTTCAAGTACAGAATAATGATGACAAAAATTGGTCAGGATTATCACTGCTATTTATAGTAATGCCATTTTGATTCAGAGTATCAAGAAGGAAATATTTATTAGCTTCAAGTGAATAAAACCCAAACAATTAGGGCAGTTATCAATCTATAATCAAGAGTTTGAGTATGTTAAACAGGAGGAAGATTATGACTACAACAGTGTTCTAGAAAAAAGAGAAACACCAACAAACAGCTACATCTCAGAGTTTTCTCCTAAGATAAAATGCCTAAAGAATTAGATCCAGTCCAAGAAGTGTTGGTCACTGAGTCAAGCAAGAGCTTCAATGCCTTATACTTTCCTGGATGTCTCTGAAGCCATTCATTGACCTTATGCCAGCACTTAACTCCCCAGTACCTCATGCCCACTTACTTTTTGCCCCAGCATTCCAGGGAAGCCTATTTCTCCCTGCAAAGTAAACGGAGAAAAATCATCAAAAAATGTGGAGTGATCTTTGACAAAGCAGCACCTTGCTTGGAAGGAAGAAAACCAGGTGCCATGTATTGATATTGGTTGAAAAACCCACACTGTGATTCAGCACTGCAGATGATACAGTAGATGGAGGACTATAAGCAAAATCTTACTGTAAAGCCCCTTGTATGGCAGCACTACTCCTCCGTCCTCCGTCTGATCCTCTGCTGCCTGCTTCCTCTCCCCTGGCAAAAACATCCCGGTTGTGCGTTTGTCTACAGGCAACCCTGCTACCTGGACAACTCCCAAAGCCTGCATTTGGGAATGGCATTTCTCCATTTACATTAAAAGCACTTCACTTCTGCTTTCTTAGCTAAAAGAACCCCCAACCCATGAATCTCTCTTTTTTTTTTTTTTTTTTTTCCCACCCCTCACAGCAATATAATATCACCAGCTAAAAGCATTTCGGCGAGCTGTCGTGGTTCTGGAGTGCACAGGCCGGGAGAGACTGAGGTTACCCCCCGGGAAATGCCCCTCAGCCTGGTCACCCTGCTACGCACCGGGGCTGGGGGCACATGGGCATGTAGGCTGCCCCACCGGCCGCCCATCAGGTAGGACCCCTGCCTTCCCTCCCCACTCTTGCCCTCCCAGGAAGGTGCCTCCAGGCTCCCTTCGCCCATACAGCTCCTGTTTTCTTCTGTCAGAAATACGTTAGTCCTCGTGTGCACATTCAGCTAAAGCTCACAGCCATTTGGAAAAGAGAATTACCTGGTCTCCTTTGACTCCCTTGTCACCCCTGTCACCTCTGGACCCCTGGAGAGACACAACAGGGTGGCAACAGCTTAATTACTACCATTTCACAAGGAAGCAAAGAATATTTCTCCTACATGAGGCATTATTTGGAGTCACGCAGAATACAGTAGTGTCTCCAGAATGAGGTATATGGTAGATACCCTAAAATGTTTCCTTATTACTTTCATTGATAGTATAACAGAATTAAGAGTAAGGCTTGTAGGAAAAGGGGCTCATTCTCCCCAGATAATTACTTTAAATACGTGCTTTCCTGGACGTAATACTTCCAAACTTGATTTTTTTTTCCCAGTTGGCTTCATCCATGTTCAGGTTCCACTCTATGTTCTTATAGTAAAAACTGTCTCTGTGCCAAAGTATATATAGCCTAAATAAACCAGACCAACAATTAAGGGTTATTATACCCTTTCTACAGATACGGATGGGGAAACTGTAGTGAGGTGCACCCTAGTAACTCGTTCACAAAAGGACGGGGTGTAAAACTCACTTCTTTAGCATCCCAGCCCAAGCCACAAGACTGTGCTCCTTCTTGTTGCTTGTTTTCATTTCTCAGAGGGACCTTTAGACTTCACTCCAACAAAATTCAATCTCATTTCTACAGTTACTTTTTTTTACACAACTGTTTCCAATCGTTAAATTATATATTATTCTATTGTCACACTAACCTTTTCTCCTCTAGTTCCAGGAAAACCCTAAAGAGAATGATAGATATTTTAATGCATCTCACTTTCAAGATTACCCAAGAAGCAAACTTGCAGACTTTAAAGTGAAGAAAAAGAACGAAGCACAAATAATTAATTGCATCAATTTGTAAATGCAAATCAATATTTATAGCTTTTAAAATTGCACTGAAACAGAACTATGAAATCTGAATTAAAGGCAAGACAACTCAGCCCAAAAGCCAATGTCAAAAAGCTAGGTAAAGCCAGCAGGTATGATATTGCTTTTAAAATTTAAACAAGGGAAATAAAACGTAAACAAGTGAATGAAGCCTTAGATGACACAATTAATAATCTAAAATAATTTTAGCAATAATCTTCCTCTTTTGTTGTTTTTTTTGTTTGTTTGTTTTGTTTTGTTTTCCCCGGTGGAACATCCTTAATTTATACTTAAGCAATCTTCTAATGTGAAGATTACTATAAAACTGAGCTTCTCTTTAAGAAACATATAATAAACAACGGTGTTCAATTCCTCTTTCCAGTCCTTTACTTGCTTAAACTAATTAGATATTTTTTTAAAGTACCTTAAAATGTTGTGGCCTAAATTTGTAAAGGCAGAGGCTATGCTATAGACAATGATGTGCAGATACTAGAACATCCAGACCAAATTGTGCTTACTATTCAATTGTCAATATGTATGCATAATTTTAGTAGAGGACCAAAATGATCTCCACAGTCTTATGAGATGGATGGAAAACATTGCAGACACAAGTTAATGCTGCAGATGATACACTTAAAAACTCCAGTTTTCTAGTGGGATACAATTATATGTAAATCTTGCTTTTAAAATAAATTTTTGTATCACAGTGATTTACACCAAAGCATTTTTTCTGAAAAGCCAATAACACAGCCAAGCCCAACCAGACAACATAACCTCGCTTGAAGGAGAACATATCTTTTTAGCTGTATTAGAAAAGATATCTCTTGATAAATGCTTTCCAGCAAATTCATGAGGGAAGCAGCTGTCAGCAGAGCGTTAGAAACCAATGCCTGAAAATGCAGCGTTTGGTTAACAAACCTTGGAGCCCATTGGTCCTCTTGTACCTGGCAATCCCATCACACCCAACTCTCCCTTTTCACCCTAAGGGGGTTAATAAAGAGAGTTATTGAGAGTGGCTCTCTGATGAGGTCATATTTGAATGTACTTGAGACAAGCCTGACCTTGGTGTAGCACTGTGGTCAGAGGTCTATATTGCAGTTGCATTCTGCCTGAGTCCTCGTGCTACCTTATTCTTCTGTTTGCATTTTCTTGTGTGTGTAACTTGAGCTTCAGTTTTGCCAGATGCTATTAAAGGGCGTGCGAGCCAATTAGCAGCAGCAGCGCATCCTTTTGCTGCCCGAAGGTGCATTGTCTCTACCCAGCATCACTTCCACTGAGTTGCAGAAAAGAAAGGTGTTTTGCTGTGAGCCTTTGTGGCTTGGGGAGGCATAGTGACTACTATCATAGGCCTGAGACATCACGTGCTTTACGGTGGTTTGGAGCCAGTAAATCATGAAAAGGCTTTACAGCTTCCCTGGCTGCTGTCAGCTAATTATATCTAGGGTGAAATACGGAGTAGTCCCCACAGAGGTGCAGCAGCCCTACCAGCAGAATACAGATGACTCTCATTCTCCTTTGGCTTTCACTGCTCTAGTAGTGGAAAGGATTTTCACACTGGCTGCTTCCCCGGCAGAAGTTCAGAAAAGACTTGAAGAAACAGAGTAGGAGAAATAAGGATTGGACCAAGGCTGTGTCAAAGAAAGGGAAGATAAATAAAGAGACCCAGCTGAAGAAATAGAAGGCACAGAGATGAGAATAAGAAAAAAACCCCAAACAGCAGCTTACTGGCAATTTACAGCCAAGAAGAGGATGCAGCAAATGACTATAGTGAAGATGAGTATCAGGAGTTGGGGAAGACCAGAGATCAGAAAAAGAGAAAGGAAAGAGAGGCACGACGGATGGAAACGAGCACAGAGATCTTGCTGGCCTGCATTCGGGTGGAGCCTTAACTGACAGGCAGGAAACAGAAATTTATAAAGACCAGAAGAAATGGAAGTGTGAACCCATCTAAAGAACAGAGGAGGCAGGTATCAGGGGAGCCAATAAAAGCAGAAGCCTCGGGATCAAACAGCAAGTAGGACTTTGCAGTCAAAGTATAGGAAAAAGTATTACTACTAAATGTGAGGGATGCTGCTAGGAGTGTGATGCAAATGCGTAACCATAGACAGAGAGGAGATAAAATAAAAATTAGGAAGACTTCATAAATAAAACTAGAGCTCATATACGGAAAAGGCCAAGCGAATGAATGCTCTGACTTCTGTGCTCTCAGTAATCAGACTGTGAGGGACTGCAGTAGTTGGACCTTCCTTCTGTCCTCACTGCTCCCACTGTGAGAAACCTCAGCACACTGCATTCTAGGGGACACCATTTCTCATCTCACAGTTCAAAGTGAGCATTGGCTTCTTTTTTGTACATAGTCTCTTGTTGCTTGCCTACATTCCCACATACTATATAATATGATGTTCCTCATCCAACATAGCTGTGAAGGGCTTGAAGGTCTGATTTGCAGGTGTGGCTTTGGATTCAGAACTAATTCACACTACTATTTTTGCAGTAGCAAGAGCTACCAACCTTCATGGAGCAAATGAGGAGTCGAAGATTTACTGGAAAATGCAGCTTTGAACTAAACATGGTGTGCTTTCATCTATTTTAATCAACATAAGTGCTACAGGGGCTAGGCTGAAGGTGGAGTAACCTAACCCTAGACTGGGCAGAGCAGTGTAAGAAATGGGACAAGGATAGAGTGTCCTTGCACTGCTGCAGCTTCCCAGCCTCTGGCAGACAGTGGTTTAGAGACTTTCCCAGGCAACTGTTGTGTTCGGATCGTGATGTTGAACAGGTGATGCCATGTGAATTTTAGTCTTACCTTCGGTCCCACAGGTCCAGGCCATCCTACTGGTCCTGGCATCCCAGGGACACCCGGGGGACCTGGTCTACCCTTGAACGGAAAACATCAGTTACAACAATTCATGTAGCATCATTCCTACACACAGGCCTTCACTGCAGACAGAAGACATGGAGGAATATAGTCTTTTCAGGAAAAGACCTGCAAATGGTTCTTTACATTGTTTTTAATACAAAAAATACTATATTATATACGTAATACAGTTTATGTTGATGCTACTGGAGGAAGCATAGGCTTGCAGAAATAGCAGGTTATACTCGTTCAACTAAGTAGATCAGCTACAGAGTAAATCTACATGCAGTCAAAATAGTCATCCTAAAACCCCAGTATCAGTAACTTAAATCCTCTTTTCATTTAATAGTACAATGTAAATAAAAAAAACCCCTTGCATGTGACTACATCAGTATGAATCCAATTTACATTAGGAACAGAACCAAACCTTTAACTATGATATTCCTGTTTTTATTTACTATTATTCTTATTCTGAACATTCTCATATGTGCTATAATTGCCATTTATTAGCTACAGTATGACTAGCAATAACTACATATATACCGTTATTTATCTGTTTTAACTACTGCCTGTAAATCACTCTTTGATTATCTCCTAAAATGCTGCAGATGATTAGTGCTACTCCACTGCTTTATGCCACTTGACAATATCATCTTAGAAATGTCATCATGACATTTGGGGCTAAGAGTGACCTCCCACGAGCCAGACAGCTTTTAGCAGGAGTTATGCTCTTTTATTTCCAACCTAAGCAACTTCTCTTTTAGGGCCTGCTAATTTTTGTTAGAAGAATAAGTATGCCAGTGTTTGAGGTTTGCTCTCTCTTGTAGGTTGGTGGGTGACTCTCTCTGAGACATTACTGATTTGGTCACTTGAATTTATATAAGTAACATTTTTGTTTGCTGTAGGGCATTTGCAATTTAGATTAAAGAAAAAGACCTCTTTTGTTTACGTGTTTCATATTCATTTGAATTACTGGTTGGTAGCTGGTGGTAAAATCCCTTGTATATTATTAGAAGGGTGTTAAAATCCTTGGTATATTATTAGAAGGGTACTTCTTTTCCTGGTTAGTGACTACCCCCTGCATATCTCTGGTTTCATCCTGCATGTCTGTCTTCTTTTAAAGTTAATTACATTAAATGGAGGCACTTAGCGACTGAGATAACGTATTCTGTTTCATCACATGTAGGGGCACATATTTTTGATGATATATCATGGATCATATGTCACCAAGCATAGGATTGTAGTCAGCATATTGCGTCGGTGCCAAAACTCTGTAAATGCAATCATTAATGGTTATTCCCCCTTCTGGGCTATTTGGCTGAGCCTTGTCTCAACTTCAGAAGACTAAAAAGTTTGATTTTCCTTCTTCTTTTTGTTTTTTTTTAATACACTTTTTATGATGGCTCCCATACTCTGCTTCCCCTGTCCACAGAGACATAGTTCAGGTAATTGCCTGCTCTGTTTTAATTGTCTGGCCAGAGCCACATGCTCTTACGAGGGAATTTGTCGAATTCAAACGATCTGGGACAGCTCTCCAAGCCAACAGAGTCCAGTTCTCCAGCCCTGTGCCCAGAGCTCCCTACCACCCACCCAGGTACCAGGGGAAGCAGCACAAACAGGTGAAACTTCACCATTAGCTAATTTTATTTAACTATTATCTGCACCCCTCTCTGACAGCTGCTATTTGTCAAATATTAGACCAGTGTCTGAGACGGCATCTTCATTCATACCTTTCTTCCTGGCCTGCCGATCTCCCCCTGCCAGAGAAAAGAATACATTAGTCTCATAGGCACCACACATACTGGGATTATCTTTGTGTTCAAGACTTTTCTTCCAGACATAAAATGAGAAAAATCACTCTAACAGAGCTCCTTTGTCTTTCCTGTTCTTTCAGCCCTAAATCTACAGTCACCTCTTTGTATAGCAAAACATATAATTACATGCCCAGCTTCAGGTATAAGACTCTTCAAGCACCATCATGGAGCAAATGCTTTGCAGATCTGAAGCCATAACTTAAGATGTAGATCACTTTTAATATCTGAGCTGACCCATACTATTAACACTGCATATGAAAGCTCTGCTTATCATGTTCTCCCAGAGGGACTCGGTGGGCAAAGGCTGTTGGATCAGTAAGATCACTGACTTGACTTGTGCATCTGAGCTGTTTTCTTAATGTATACTCTAGACATAGGTAACTATCATGAGAAGCCATAAAAAACATTGCAAGATTGAAAATTAATACTGAAAGATGAAGATTTAAATTCTAGCTTCAAACCAAGTCACAGCTTTACTCTCAAATTAAAGCAAATCCCCACATCCCAAAGTTCCACTGTTGACTAAACGGACAAGGAAAAAAGGCAACACAAGCCCCACCACCTCTTTCCTCGCCCCTTCAAAAACATACCAAACTGCATAACACAGACACTTACTTTCTCCCCTTTTGGTCCCATGATACCAGGAATTCCTTGTGGACCCTAGGGAGAAAAGTGAATGCATTAGTAAGAAGGCACTGGTGGTTGCCTTCCCTCAGCCCATAGCCCTCTAGGTGTCTCCTGGGAACAGTGCGAACGCCCAAGGCGCGTGTTGGATGTGGTCTTTGAATGTGGCCTCTGAATGTCAGGTCTGTGCCACTGCTGAATGGCAGTCTGGAGAGTTGGACTGACATGAGAAGTGCAGGGTCATCTTCTAGATGAAGAAAACTACCAAGAAAAAAGGCCTGGGGAAAAGGAAAGATGAGAAGTATCGGGGTCCTGAAGAATTAGCAACAATGAGGACACAGAGACACCGCATCAGCTGGCAAAGGAGGTCAGCCAAAGGGGTGGTAAGTGAAGTGGCATAAAACATGTGGGATGGGCTCTGCAGTGTGGTATGGACATGGAGGATTGCCGCCACTTCTGAATCCTTCTCTCTCTCAAATGAGGCTGATTCTCCTTTCAGACCTCTTAATCCAGGGAGACCTGGCACCCCATCTCAGAAAAAAATCAGAAAAACAGTTTTGGTTATAGAATGCTTCAGTTCACAGACCACCTTTTATTTTCGAATGACTCAGGAAAAAAATCCCAAGAGCTTGCATCAGAGGAGCGTTGGATTCACCCTAGAAATCACTTGTGTTTGGATCTCGGCTGGCTTATCCTGTCCAAAACATGATGCAAATTGTACATGTATAGGAGCAAAGTGTATCCTCAAATGCAAATTACTCTATTTTAGTCAGTAGATTTATTTTAGGTTTTCAACAGCATAAACCAGAATGCATCCCATTAGTGTCAGAGCCAAATTTGATCTCATTTCTTTCATTTTACCTTAGGTTATGCATGAGAGGAATTATACTCTGAGTTACATCATTAAAAGTCTAATTCTCCTTCTTATGAAAAAGTGTTAAAATTCAGCTCTGAGTCAACAGTATGAGCTTTTATGACTCCTTTGAAAGTCATGCAAGCTACAGAAGAAAAAAATTCAGAAATACATGGATTTTTTTTTTAGTGGTAGCATTTGTTTCGAGGTGACCATTGTCATAGAAGTATTGCCCAGAGGACTACTGGCTCTAACATTATCCTATGATAAGACACAGTCCTGCACTTTAGAATTAAAAATTCCAAAGCAATGTTATACCCACCCTACTGTGTGCCACTGTGATAAAATCTGCCAGCCTACTCTATTTAAAAATATTCTAGGAGGGATCATAGATCATTTGGTTGCAAGATTAATATTATTTATAGCAATGGACCTTGCAGAACAATAGAACTAATATAACTTTTCTTTCAATTTAAGTCAGAGAGAGTATTAAAAGTATTAAAAAAAAAAAAAGACAGTTTAGCAAAGACTGAAATAACAACAGCTTCTTTCACATGTACTGCAACTCTGGATTGTGGCCAACCACACTGCAGGGCCATTTCATAATGCGCAGAAGCGTTTTCTCAATACAGGACAGGACAAACGTTTCCCATCGCTTCTCTCCACACCTCATCATTCACACGCGACATGCGTCTGCCTCATCCTGCATCTCAGCAAAGACAAAATGGCAGAACAGAAAAGTCAGGGTTCATAAAACAAGACTTTGTGGCTTTCACATTGCATATTCTAGGCTATTTACAAATACCTTCTGAAGTATTGACTTCTAAATAATGAAAGCTAAGCTCTCTGCTACCTAACTGAACCTTTGCTGTGATGCACTCTCCTTACTTTTTTAAACAGTGTTTGGGTGCTTGTTAACTTCTCAGGCTGCCGAAGCCCGAGCCACAGCTTTGCTGCAGTGCAGGTCCCGCGTCGTGCCTGCTATTAGCACACCCAGGGGCCTCGATCACTGTCCCAAAGCACGAGGCACGGCACATCGGTAGGGATCGCCTGCGCCCCAGGAGAAGTTGGCAGTACTGTCTCCTGAACGGTTGTATTTTTCTTCGGAGGGAATGAACTGGAACGGAAAGGCAGGTGGGTGATCTTCTCCACACTACAGGGAGGTTTGCAAAACCCTTCCTCCTAGAGGTGGGCCATTTCCTCAGAAGATTTCTGAATGTACAAATTGTAGAAAAAGCAATAGGAGCTCAAAGGGACTGACCCAAGGCTACCCAGCAAGGCAGAGGCAGAGGTGTTGCAGATCAAACTGGGAGATCCCACACCTCCTGAATCCCATCCCATTGCCCTTGTGAAGCCCCTCCTTGTCTCTGATCTGTACTGCAAGCGTTTGCCTTCTCAGGGATGTACTCTGCTAACATTCAAGTTCATTGCACCTCTTGTACGCCCACTCCATGGGCTCTTGCCCTCACATAAAGGACAACAGAGTCTAAAGCAAAGAAAAAAACTAGCAAAGAGCCTCTGAAGAAAGTGATGGCACCTCCAGGATTTTTGATGGGTGCTACCCACTGTAAAACTCCATGAAAATGAAGGGTGACCTTGAAACCTCCTGGAGTGTGCAAGGCAGGGATGAGAACATAGGGCAAAAAGCCTACATGATTTATGCATAGTCGTATCACAATGACATTAAGCCAGAGCTTGGTATGCTTATTAAGTGGTAACAAGCATTTGCAGAAGAAGTTTCACAGCTTTGTAAGAACCTTGGAGCAAGTCTGAGAACAGTGTGGTTTAATCACAAACGCGTTACCTGGGGGCCAGGAGGCCCTGCGGGGCAATGCGATTCGGGCAGAGAGGAAGCCTGTATTAGCTGGAGCTCTTGACACAAGTCTTCCATATCCAGGGCAAGCAGCTTCTGTGTAACATAAAACATACAAATGAACACACAGCCGTAGGTAGCCAGTCAGAGAAATGCAGAAATAAACAGCCACCAAACGCTACAGCCTCCAGAGAGTTCATCCGCTCCCTTCGGGAGCAGCCTAGGATTTGTCGCAAGGTTATCTTCACGGATGCTTGAACATTAGCGTCCTGCCCCACGCTTCCTCCTCTCCCGGAGACGTGTCGCAGCCAGGCTGTCACACGCCCCTGCAAGCCAGCGTGGGACCCTGGCCTATTCTTAGACCTGACCCTGCTCTCTCTGTCCCACTCGACAAGTAGCAGCTCCTCTCCAAAAATAGCGTCCCTGCTCTAATAATAGAGACTACGCTCAGCAGGGGTATCGGCAGCGTGAACTTCGCTCCAGAAGATACTGACCCATGGGGCATTCATTCATGGCCTTTAAAGATCAATGAACGTCTAATCTTTTGACTTCAAAATTAGGCTTGCATGAGTAAACTGGCTTATTTATGTCCTGTGACAAAAGCCATCTCCCCTGGAAATGCAGGCGAACACTGAGGTAGAAACACCGGGTGAACACAACTGATCTTCAGCTTCCAAGTGAAACGGCGTTTTCCAGACAACCTCCAACTAGAAATTCCAAAGCGCAAACTGCTCAATAGTGAATTCATGTGGCTCCCACCCTCCTAGGGACTACTTAGTTTTATTTTGTGGTTTCGGGGCAATGTGGTGTGAAAGGTGATTTTATATTCAGATTACTCTCTTGCCTGCTTGGGGGAATCTTTGGAGTCCTGGTCCCAACCTCATCCTCACTGAAGGAGTACACCATATTCCTAAGGAGATCTTGTCTCTGGGTCTCCTTTCTGTGGAAACCAAGGCACAGGGAGGGGAGGGGATGAGGAAGGGGGAGGCAAGTAGATTTTCATTTGGGGAGAATAGCATCCTGAGCTCAATCTTGATCCCTTTGAAGGCAATGGGGGATTTTACATTGTATTTTTTCTCGGGTTAGTTCTTGTCAGAGCGCTTACTAATCGTTACTTACATAACACTAGCAATAATTGCAGTATTTTTATATGGTAAATGAACAGTAGAATTAAGAAATAGTAGGTAGAAAAATTTTTAATGTTGGGATGGAAAATATATTGGAAAATATATTAACAGACGCTGGCAATAAGAGTAATTGGGCAAACTGCTATGTCATATACCCATTATATCCTATACGTTTCATACGTTGACACGTGTATGGATACATATGACATAGAGCAGGTATGGGCATAGGTGGGTGAGAAAAAACTCAAGACCAGCAACCCAAACCTGCAAATTGATATGATGGAAATAGATTCCATAGGAGGATTGTGGGACCTTCATTTCACCTACTGGGAAAGACAATCGCGGTGCAAAACAGGACACATACATAATGTACGCCCTGAAATCATTGTGCAGGATGGAAAATTGCCTTTCTGTCCTTACTTGTCCTGGCTTATTGCATTTCCACTTCCTTCAGTTCAGGATTGCCTTACTCTAAGAAAGTTACCAAAACAGAGTAAGGAGAATATTTTAAGTTAATTGAATTAACCGCCTGAACAGACCCAGCCTCGTTTCATTCCTTGATCTATTTGCCATTTACTTCAAGCCCCAGTCTGGGATGTTGAATGATTGTCCTAAGAGAGCCATACTAACACAGCCAGAGGGGTTTGCTGAGTGACACCATGAAGCAGTGCTTGAGGGCATACTCCAGGCTGTGTCGTCCATAAAAAGTCATGTAAAAAGAAGAGAAAGGCTCCTGGGCCACACTTACGGTGCTCCAGCTGTGCCTGAAGTAGGGTGGTGGAAACAGGGGTGGTGGAGGAGGGCCGAGGAGGCAGCACGCTCTGTGGCTGAGCTGTTTCTTCTGTTCCAAACAAGGGAGATCTGTTCAATACAAACACTCATCCATTTTCTTGAACACCACAAATATTTCTTACAGAATAAGAGGAGTTTCCATTCCACAGGATTTTCCTACATCCTGTGTGCACTGATTGTAACACTGTAATCCAAGCAGCGATTTAAGAAACCGGGTGGACCCTGGAGTCTATAAGTTTCCTCTTGTGCAGAAGACTATGCAGAGTTTTAAGCTCTTAAAGTGGCTGTGACACAGGCTGATTTTGGAAAATTTCAGATAAGCGACATTAGGAAATAGTTTGAAATATTTCTCTCTCTCTCCTCCCATTCCAAAATCGTATTAGAAATCGCGTCTTCTGGTTCCCGTTACAGCCCGCGTGCCACCAGGAAGCCCTCCATGCTGTTGCCCACCAACCTTCCCCGTGGACCAAATTGCTCAGGCACTTCTGTGATAACAGAGTGGGAAGCTGTTCCACAGCACATTCGCTTATATTTCCCCTGGGACTGAAATCAGATTGCCTTATTTCTGATTCGTGCACCATCACTAAGAATAAATACTCTGCAACCCAGGTTTAGCTGATAGCTTTGCCACCGACTGACCAGTAAGGCAGGGCCTCGGTTGTGTTCAGCAATATATTTAACCTTTTCTAGGGGGAAAACTTCCGTCAACAAAATAAGCATCTGTGACCAAAGATGCACAGAGAAAGGATGTGAAGATGATGCATTTACACTGTCATTTTTTTTGTGAATCTATTTACTCCTTGGGAAATACATCTCTAACGAGGGTGGGGACCTTCTGCAAAGGTTTTGCCAAGGACAGCAAATATTTATTTACATCTGTAGGTTTCTTCCTCTGGCTAGTGGCAGATAGAACGGGTGTCTGTGAACTGAAGGGTGGCAGGGAGCCAAACACAGCAGGAAGAAAAGCCCATGATGAAGTATCTGGTATTAATAGAAAATCTCCAAATTAAGTTTCTAGGAGGACAAACCTGACAAAATCGCTAGATTCATGTGCAAATCAATCGCAGGCTGGATATTAGTCACATCTCAAGGTAAGGCAGATTTTCTAAGGGACAGAGATAATTCTAGTTTTTCAAATGTCTCGGAAAATATATCGGTTCTACCACCCCACGTTTAGGGGACAGCATTTCCCTCAGTCCCAACGCACAGAAAACAGCTGCCCAGAGGAGTGTGATTCAGCAGCATTCAGGGGTAGTTTGTGTTATCCAGACTTTTTTCTCTATCAAAACACTACTTGCAATAATACCTTTGAAAGATGAGTCACTTAAAGTCTGAAAGGATCCATAATGAATACTCTTTCTCAACTTTTCCTCCCAAGCTTGAAACTCAAGCAAAACCTTCAATTTAAGAGAAAGGAAGAGGATTTAGGATAAAAAACATAGATTCATCATTTCATTTAAAGCTTGAAATACATATTAAAAATGCCAAAGCCCTTTAAAAAGTAGCAAAGGTTTGAGTTTGCCTGTCTCCAGTTCTCACGAGCAATAAAATACAAAGATACGTAGAGTTAAGATCTGCGTTGGCTTATCCTGGATTCAGTCAGTCTTACGCAGCTGTAACTAAGGTCTTCAATTTTTACCACACATACTTCTGTGGTTATCTTAATTTCAGGATTGTATCTGAACATACTGCGTTGGGACTAGATTACATATTATTAAAGCAATGGACGGCTTGTAATTTAATAGGATATAAAATGTGATTATTTTTTTATTTTAGGTCACATTCCAATATCATCACTCTTTCTTAGTATTACCTTATTCCATGACCTAGCTAATTCATGGTCATGTCCTCCTGAGTAAAGTCAAGGCCTGGGTTATGAAATATTGGGATTTTCCTTTTTTGGCAGTGAAGTCTGAAATTCTGTGGAACAGCTTTTATTGTGAAAAACATTATAGCTAACCAAGTTGATAGCAAAATAGCCATTGATTTCAGTCTTTATAGTCTTATTGTAATACTACTGTACCACAAGTTAGGTCAAAACACAATTTAGGTTTGCTGGCATAAAGAAAGACATTTAATTACTCTTACTATTATATAGAATAGATATTAATTATATAATGATGTAGGTAGTTAATATTTCAGGGGCTCCATCATTAATCATGGCTATGTTCTGGAAAGTGTACTTGTAACACAAATATTTAAGAAAAGGCTGGTCCTGGACCCAAGGACCTCCCACACTCAAGTATGGCAGGTGTATACGACAGAAGAGGGAGCAAAAAAATGCATGAGTCACAGAGTGACTACAGGTATGACCGCTATAATTTGATCTTCCATTAAACACTGCATTTCATTGGTATGGATTTTGTTAAATGCGATAGATCCAAGATGTACAACCACTATAGTACCGGCTTGTTTTATGTATCACAAAAGGGTTACCTTGACAGGCTTACAGGCTCTCTGCAAATGCGATGTGTATTTTTAGGCTCCAGGTTACCTTTGTTTGCTAAACACAGCTTCAGAATACTCCATTCCCCATCAGTGGAAAAAATCTCAGCCCAAGAATAGGACTGTCATAGTTTTCTGTGAAATGTGAAGACCCTGCCTACACAGAGCGCACATTTACGTATCTCATATGGAAACGGTTCTTTCAACAGCTTCGATATCAAAGAACCTATTCTATAAAAGAAGGAAGACAAAATGAAAAACTCCTTATAGGACTTGTCTAAGTGGCAGTAGTTTTCAGAGAACATAAAAAATTGTAATAGTCAGATTCAAAATAGAAAGTCTTTATCATTTTCAGACTCAAATTATTTTTATGGGTCAGACTATATGTTCATCTAATTCAAGGAAGTGACTGTATAGATCTATGGGTATACTGGCAATGGTTGCTCAGAAAATATCATATTTTAGGTAAGCTGTAGCAATGTTTTGTTTTGATCCTGCTGACTGCTTGCTTCTGACCATAGCTGGAAGTTGTGAACTCTGATCCGAGATGGTCCAACGCAGAGGCAGAGAGAAGCCTTCGCCCAGGACGAGTCCCCTGGAATGGGGCTCATAGGTCTCTTAGCCCTCCTAGAGATGCTCCTAGAGCTGGCCTTCAACCCTGCGAAGCCCCCAGCTCCAACGGAGGTAGCAGAGAAGTGCTGTCCTGTGTTCAGGTTAGATTTACAGGATTTCACTGAAAAAAAATCGTAAGTAAACCATGAAAGTGATGTTTATGCTAAAATCGCAAAGGTGTAGGCCAACTGTCAGGATGAAAGGACAGGAAAGGAAAAAGATACTTAACATGTGTTTCCCTTCCTATTTGTGACCACGTTCATCCAGCAAGCCCTGACGGGAAGCCAAGCTGCTGTCCAAAGGCTTGTCACCCTGACAGCAGCGCTGGTGGCCTGCCTGGCTTGTGACAGGCAGGACTCCGCTAGATGGAGACCTCTGATGGCTGACACCCCACCACAGGTTCTTCTCCCACTGGATGGCATTCAGAATTAATAATAAACGAGCTCAGCAGACTATTCAGGTAATCAGTGTGGGCTTGTCCGGCTGAAACTGAGAGTTTTCATCAGTTCATTCAGGCTCCTCTCACCCTCCTTGCAGGAGACAAGCACACCATGGGCAGCAGCCAGCCGGTACCATTCTATACATCTATTGCAAGGTGACTAAGGTGCTTTTTCTTTTTAAGTTAGGAGAGTTTTGAGCTTGTCAAAAGTGCCTTTTGAGAGCCATACAGGTCAAAATCCTTTATTTACAGAGCAGATACAGGTATTACTCTCTCCTTTAAAGCCCTAAAGACATGCACCAGCATTGACAATACATACTTCTTTAAAGTGTGTTTTACAAGGCTTTGTGATCCCAAATGTGCTATAAGCACATATAAGCAGAGTGGGGAATAAAGCCTGGGTCTGGAGATGGGTCAGCTTAGCAAACGGTCTGCTTCTCTCAGTACCCTTTTGAACTTCAGCCTTATGGTCGATGGCCTAAATATATCTTTTCTTGTAAACCAGCTAACGTAAATATGCTGAGGAAATACATCAAGCTCTACAGCTTAGGTAATGGTGCCTGCGTGGAGGAGGTGGTGACCCAGGAAGCTCCCATGGGAGCTGCGGGATGAGAAGCAGGGCTACAGCTCTTCCCCACTTCTGGTTCCCTCCTGCTTGAAATGGAGCTTCAGAGTCCTTAAGAAAAAGCACAAAGCTGATCAGAAATTAATTCCCCATCCTTCTGACATAAAACTCCAGCCAAAACCTTGCAAGTTTCCTTTCAGCCAAGAAAAACTCATAGAAATTTGAAAATACTCTGTTTCTAATCCCCAAAGTGGCCATGGGCTGTGGCAGCAGTAATGTGCGCTTCACCAGCTGGCGCACACTCAGAGCGGTCATAACAAATAAATAAATAAATACATCCATAACGGTATTTAAAGTCAGTCGACGTTCTGAGAGCTTGACAATGGCACAAACCCTGGCATGCCGCCCGGCCGGCGGATCTCGGCGTTCACCCGGCCGGAGGAGCAAGGATGTTCTGTCCTCCGTCCCCACCTAATATCCATCCCGCGCCCCCCAGCATCGCCGAGCACCTCCCGCGTGCCCACAGGCAGCGAGGCCCCAGTGAGACCTCCCGCCCCGGCCGGTGACCGGCCGGCGGCTGCACCTTTGCAGGTCAGCCTTAGAAAACGCGGCAGAAGTGGCAAAACGCGGGAAAGCAAAGGGCCCTATGAGACTTCTAAGCAAGGTCTTTTACTGCCTATATGCAAATATTTCAGACAGTTAATCTGTGTGAATGTGCATGTATGAGGGCAATGCATATGCCAAAAGGTTATATACTGTGCTCTCAGGTTGATTGCAGAAGGAAAATTCTGAGGTCGGCACAAGAAAGGGAGAGGAGCATTTGCTTGGGTTGGCTCTGCACTCCAGTTTCACAAGAACGTGAAAATCTCAATAAGATCTGGTGAGTGGAACACTTCAGTGGGTTATAATATGGGTTTATAAAATAAATCCATGGTTTATAAATCCCAATAACCACAACAGAGCTATTTTGTGCAATTTTCCTTCTATTGCCTTCCATTTGCAGAGGCC